GATCCTTCCTCAGAACTGATGGTGGCTGGGAAAACGTCAGTTTATATAAACTGACGTTTTCGCAGACAACATCAGTTCTGAGGAAGGGTCACCGGACCCGAAATTTTAATTCTGTTTTCTCCTCCAAAGATGCTGCCAGACCTGCTGAGCTTTACCAGCAACTTTGTTTTTGTTCCTGATTTACAACATCTGCAGTTCTTTTGGTTTTTAAGGAAAAATAGTGATGGTCTCTACAAAGACTCTCTCTCACTCTCTCTGCTTATCTCTACCATCAAACTCAAAAGTCAGTTCTGAGTGAAAACTGACTTAAAACAACAACCATTCACCAGTAATTCGAGGATATCTGCAAACTTTGCCACTGCTGAAGAAATAAGGCAACAGCTAAAACAGCCAGGACTCTCAGCATTCTCACAAGTTGACTACTCTAAGAACTTTAAACAGAAATTGCCTTTAGCTGCCTGACTGTACTAAATGCCTCTCTCCCACCTTCTTTGTATGATTACTACCTGTGTTTGTATGTGTATTGATGTTGCATTTTATCATCTTTAGGGTCTAATAAGTAATAAAATTCCTCTCTCATTCAAGAAAACCTTCCAGTGTGGCTCCATCATTTTAAACTAAGTAATTGCACTTTAATGGAAGTGCAGGCTAAAAATTATAGTTTGGCAGTACAGAACTTGAGTATCGCTGACAAAATGGGTCTTTTTGCAGCAATATTCAAAACAAAAATGTTGTGACTGTCCAAGAGGAGGTTAAAACGAGAAGAGCTGATTACCCCTCCTCATCTGGTCACAACAATATACAGAAATCTAAATAATTCTGAAAAACGTGAGGGTGGAAATGCCATATTTACTGAAAATGCTTGTTTTCCCCAAGGACCTCCTCTTTGACACAGTGTAGGTTTTGTGTTAAAGGTACCCTCACAGTAGTTTTAAATGGGGAATTGAAGGATGTTGAAGAATAAGTGTATCCTGTCAATTGTGCATACTCCAGCTAAAGTGTGTCTGTTACAAAAAACGGGATGCTTAGTCCAACAGCAGAGTTCAAGCAAACTACTCTGTTCTGGATAGCATTGAGCTTCCTGAGTGTTGTGCTGTTCTAGACAAATGGTGACTATGCATCTCACTTATGAATTGAGTCTGATTGCAGGCTTTGAGGTGTTAGGGGGTAAACCACATTTCACAATACCCAGACGCTACCCTATTCTTGTAGCATGGAGTAGTCCAATGGTATATCATGGTGTTTGATCCAATTTAGCTCCGTGTCAATGGTGACTTGGTGATAGCAATACCTTTGAAGATCAAGGGGAGAAAGTTGGGTTTATTATTGTTACTACCTGATAATTAGGTGGCACAAATGGTACCTGCAACATTTAAGCTCACATTCCAGTGCTTTCCATTAAGGTGCTCCACTTCCATGTTGTGATATATTTCCAAGCCTTTGTCTGGCTCTGTCAGCCAAAACTGGACATAGTTAAATATCACAACCAGAAATGTTTCAACCATCGGCATTCTTGCGTAAATACTGCAGTAGGTCAACCAATGAAAGAAAAGAGCTGAATGTACAATCTACTATAAATAATCCAGAATACCATATTTGTTAAAATTCAGTTTCAATCTAACTTGTTTAGGCTTATGAGCTAGGTAATATTGTGAATCCCAGAACCAATGCTTACGTAATGTCTGGGTGCTGAAGGTAATGTGACCATGAGAGGATACATGCTCATACATATGGATTTGTACCAACATATGTATCTAATTAGGTTTTAATTCATACAATGGAAAGAAAGAAAATCTGCACAAAGATCTGCAGAATTTGTTCTCAATGTCAAAGAGTTCAGATGTGACAAAACCCAGTCAGTATTATCAAATCTTGCAAGCATTCAATGTTAATTCCTAGCAAGGAAACATACCAACACAAAATATCAGGGAAAACTTTAAGTACTGAGGGTATATGTACATTTACATAAAAATGCTTTTTTAAAAAAAAATGAAGAATTATTTAGGACAGTTAGTTTTGGGAGAAGTTTGGAATCCAGATTTGACAATTGTCAATTGAGCTCAAAATTATGTTTTTCTTTCTGAAGTGAAGTTATGATTTCAGTTTTTGCTCAAAAAACATTTGCATAACTACAAACATCAAATTTTCCCAGAAACAAGACAATTAATTGGAATGTCTTTGTTTATCTTCTTTTGCATTAAAAATATTCTTAGATTTATTTAAAAATGGTGACTTGGTGCTATTTTATTCAGACAGCTGAAAATGAGTTTATTATGAAAAAAAACAGTTTTAATAAGAGTGGCTGGTTCAGCACTTACCTTAGTGTGAGTAACTTAATATTAAGTACCTGAAAATTAATCTTTGAAAAAGAAACCTTTGCTCGTTTCACTGATCCACACTAGTCAGTTTCTTCTTATAATAAAATTTTCAATTTTTAACAAATTTTGAAAGGTGTTGACAAGTGGACTTGCACCAAAGGCTCTAAGCAAGATCAGTTGACAGAAATGTGCCATGCTGATTAATTTTACAGGGGTGTAGCCAGTTTTGTGGGCAGGGCTGGTTTCCTGCACAATGTTTTTCAAACCACCATAAATGATCAAGGGAACTCAATTTGCATTGGACAAGATGCTTGACATTCCTCGATCTTTTCCATTGGCTTTGTCAATGGAACTGAGTGGAAACTTTATCCCATATCTATTTCGAGGAAGCAGAACCAAGGGCAGTCACATCAAAGGAAGTTCAAAATATCTTTCTGGATGGAAGATTCCTGCTTCTGCCAGTCACGTCATCTTGGCTTTGGAGTAAGACCAGTTTAAAATGTCTGACAGTTTCAGAGGCATGTAGTTTTGAAAAACATAAAATCTTCAGCAACCTTTTTATTTCTGAAACACACCCTTTTTTGCCCTTTAATTAATTCCTTCTCTTTGGGAGTTTATTTTTAAAAGCTGAACATTCCTATAATTATGTCTCTGGGTTTCGTTTTGGTTTATGAAACCACTACCCTTCCTTTGCTTTATATGAAGAAAATCAAATCAGTGCAAAGTGCAGATTCTGTTATTCAACATTGTATAAAGTGACTGTTAAAGCACAGCAAAATAGAACTATTGAGAAGTTTCAATTTTAATTACCAACTTCTCATTTCAGCCACGATACAATTCGAGTCACAGTGAATTCCTTGTATGGGATATGCATTGAGAGGTTGTGAGAGTCAAATAACTCCTGAAAAGGTGACTTATATATCAGAGGTGGCACTGCAGTGTATCACTGATGAACCTACATTTGGCAAAGTAATTTGTTCTATATTAAATACTCTTTATGGGGGAATGGGAGAATAAGGGGAAAAATTACCAAAGAAGGGATACGTTCCCTTCAAAATCCTTTGCTAGTTAACATTTGAAAATACTTTGTTCAGCAAGAGTTAACCCTATATCAATGGTGAAAGCATTTCTATCCTAAAATTTGATCTTTGAGTAGATTGTCTCTCTATTTCTTGTTGGTATATACAATTAATAATAAAATGGAGCTCCAGTGGAAGGTTGCATTAGTGTAGGACACATAATTACATTCACATTTCTCTAATTCTATAGAGTTTTAGAGTTCAGGCAGGAGTAGAACCCTACTGGAGTCCTCTCCCATTCTATTGAGTGCCCAATTATAGAGTAGCGTCCATATAGGATTGGAGACAGTACCAGTTTAACCAATGGCTCTTTTTGTTGTTGTTTTGACAGTGGAGCACAATGAAGATGTTTTTCACCATAAGGGACAGTGGAAAGAATTTAAGTTCGATTTAACTCAGATTCCTCGTGGTGAAATGGTAACTGCTGCAGAGTTTAGGATCTACAAAGGAACCAATGACAATTTCCATGGGAACATGACCCTTCATATCTCAATTTACCAAGTGTTGCAGGTGCTCCAGGAGAGGTTAGTGTATATTATTCATTATTCATGGAGTCATCTAACCTGCAGTTTACAGCTATGGGAGTATTTCCCCCTTCCCAGTACTAAAGAATGCTGCATTCACTGATCACATTTTTATGAAATGCTTTGCCAACCAGTTTTGCCTCTATCTTTCCTGAAGGCATTGGCCACTCCTGAAGTACATTCTATAGACAGTCTTGCTATATTGTGCAAATCCCAACAATAAACAGGAGTTTAGAAAAATAAAAGGGGATCTCATTGAAACATTTAAAATTCGGAAAGCTGCACAGTCTGGATGCAGGAATGATGTTTCTCCTGGTTAATTGTTGGGGGCTCGGGTGTGGTGTGTGTTCAGAACAAGGTGCCACAATCTTAGGATATGTGGTAGACCATTTCAGTCTGAGATGAAGAGAAATGTCTTCACTCAGTTAGTGGTCAGCCTGTTGAATTCATTCCCACAGAAACTGGTGGAAGCCAAACCACTGAATGTATTTAGGAAAAAAATAGATTTTTTTTAAGCTAAAGGTGTGAAAGGTTTGAGGAGAGAACAGGAATGTGATGTTGAGGTACACAGACAGTCACTAGGGCTAGAATCAAAATTAGGTCCATGGTGCTGTGAGGCCGCAGTGATAACCACTATGCCACCTTGCTGACTAATAGTGAGATTGACTGTAACACCTGATTTCATCCTTAATCATGATCAACTAACTCAGAATGCATTGGGTATTGAATCTGTCACCTTTCTGGTACTGAAGCTAATGCACAAATGAGTTAAGCCACTTTTTAAAACTTTTAAAAATTCTTGGGATGGGGGCATTGCTGGCTAGATCAGCACTTATTGCCTTTCCCTAATTTCTGTTGAGAAGATGATGGTTAGCCACTTTCTCCATGTGGTGTATGTACATCTGCAGTGTTGTTAAGAAGGGAGTTCCAGGAATTTGATTAGTGACAGTGAAGGAATGGTGTGGATCACCATAGGTACAGAAATTAACGAAACAGCCAGAGATATATATTTAGAAGTGTTTGTAGATATATAGCAGCTGAGAGTTTGATGGAGGGTAACATTTGTTTGAGGCTTTTAAGGGTTTAAAAAACTCATATTGAATATAGACATAATTCAGAACTGTATGGACATAGAGGAGACATGAGTCATTTAGCTCCATAAAGAGAAGTGACCACAATAATGTATATAAAAGTAGAACATTAAAATTACATAGAGGTAATTTCTGTAAATGGGAACCTGGCTGCACTTGCAAGGGACGTGGTCACTGGACACGGATAGCATTCCGGTGCATCTGCTGCCCTTATCCTTCTAGCTGGTAGAGTCATGGATTTGGAAAGGTAATCCTTCAGTGAGTAAGTTTTACAAAATAACATTTTGCTGTTACCACTGATCCAGCCCTTATGTTCCCAAGATGATATTTTTAGATGGCTGTTGCTCACTTAATGGACCACTGGTTAGATCAATGCACCAGAACACTGAGCAATAGACATGAGTCATTAGTAAGCACAGAAAAATATGCTTATTCATAGGCATAGAGTCAAAGAATGATGTCAACCTAATCCAGTGTTAAGCATGTTTTTTTTCCGGGGTTCCAGGTTTGGAAACACCACCACCTACAAGTTCCCCTCCAAGCCACACGTCATCCTGACTTGGAACTGCATCACCAGTTGAGTGATAGTTGGTGGATTGGGCAGAGGGGGTCAAAATTCTGGAACTCCCTTCCCAGTAGCACTGTGGATAACCTAACATCCCAAGGACTGTAGCAGTTTAAGAAGGCAGCTAACCACTACCATCTCAAGAGCAATTAGGGGAAGGCAATAAATGCATCCCTTGAACGAATTTTAAAATGTCAGTGGAGCTGATACTAAAAGTCAAAACTGAATATATTTAGCAAAACAACTGGGTTGAAAAGTCACTTAACACCATGGTAAACTTTAAGTGATATGAACAGTGCTAATTTTTCAAAAAATAAAAGCATGGACAGCTCAAAATATATGGTAAGCATCTGAAAGAAAAAGCTTGATTAACATTTTGGGTGGGACTCTTGCTCAGAGCTGTTATTTGCATTTCTGTTTCTTTTTATAACTGTTATTCCGTAAGTTGCTACCACCTCTCATGGGACCCAACAAAACATTTATTGAAAATAGCATTTCCTGGGTAGAATAAGCAGTAGAGATAAAATCATGGGATCAAAGGACTTTAAGTGAGGCAGTCTAGTCATTCGTGCCGAGAGCTGGTCTGACAGGCAGACAGTCAAGAGTTCAAGTCCCAGGGCTATCTAATGCCTGGATGAGTTTTTAGGCTGTTTTGTTGTCAAGCTTGCTGCCCTATTCACAATGTAGCATGGAGGTGTCAACCCAAAAGAGAGGAATAAACTTATCCCAATGGCATTGCTAGTTGTCATACCAGCTGTGCAAGGTAGCAAGAGTAGAGAGTTTATGGATGAAGTGAATTCAAATATAATTATTTGTAAAATATAAAACAAACCAAAATTTCATATTTGGTGTTCCTTATTAGATTTCCATTTACAAGCTGGACTCCCACACACAAAAAGACATCCCACAGGCTGTGACAATGGATGAAATCAGCTGTTCTGACTATGGTCAGTTGCTTCCCTCACCAATCCTGCTAAAATGTGAATAGTATTTTGCAGTGTGGTGAAGGATTCTGTGTCAGCAAATGCTTGCTCATTCCCTACTCCCCCCCCACCTCCTTTAACTCAGCAAACTTTTCTCAAATTTGTCATTGAGGAACTTTGAATCCAAATAACAATTAAAACACTGATTGAAACTCTGGTATTAGAGTCAGGAAGCAACACCCAACAGATTGAATATAGTGGCCATGGTACTTGGAGTCTCCAGGATACATTTCCACTTTTACATCCCAGAAGAAAGCGTTGTTCATTGGATGTGCACACTGGGGAATCTCATAAAGGCTCTGGTATGCTATCAACAGAAGCCTGTGTCTCATTTCCTGATATAAACTCCCAGAAAAATGAAGTTTCACACTAAGAATGTAAAGTGGGATCTTATCCTTATTTGCTGGAATTACCCTCCTGTTGAGTAGTTTCAGATCTGGTTTCTTGCATCAAACACCATTGCCTGTATGTCGTGGTCTGAATCTTTCCCTATATGTTAGCCCATTTAACATAGGTTGTGGAGAGTGGTTTAAAGAAGCCTTGGTGAATTTCTGCAATACATCAGGTAGATGGTACGCTCTGCTGCTAGTGTGCATAGGTGATGGAGAGAGTGCATGTTTGTCAATGTGATGCCATTTAAGCAGGCTGCTTTGTCCTGTATAGTGTCAGATTTCTTGTGTTTTTGGAGCTGCAGTCATTCAGACATGTAAGGACTATTCCATCACACTCCTGAACTTGTCCCTTATATATTGTGGACAGACTTTGTCAGGTCAGGAGATAAGTTATTATTGCAGTATTCTAAGCCTTTGATCTGCTCTTAAAGCCACAGTATTTATATGCCTAGTCCAGTCAATTTCTTGTCAATAGCAACACCCAGAATATTGATAGTGGAGGTTTCAGTGATGGTAATGCTCTTCAATATCAAGGGGCAATGGTTAGATTCTCTCAGGTTGGCAATGCTCATTGTTTGGCACTCATCTGTTGCAAATGTTACTTGCTACTTATCAGCCTAAGCCTGAATATTGTCCAGGCCTTGGTGTATTTGGACATGGATTTCTTAAGTATCTGAGGAGTCGTGAATGGTGTTGAACATTGTGCAATCATCAGTGAATATCCCCACTTTTGACCTTGTAGCAGCTGAAGATGGTTGGGCCTAGAATACCACCCTAAGGAACTCCTTCAGAGATATCCTGGCACTAAAATGAATGACCTCTAATGACTACACACATCTACTTTTGCATCAGGTATGACTCCAACCAATGGAGACTTTTTCCCAATTGCCTTAATTTTCCGAGAATGCTTTGATGCCACGCTCAGTTAAGTATAGTTTTGATGTCAAGGGCAGTCACTTTAACCTCATCTCTGGAATTCAGTTCTTTTGTCCATATTTAAACCAAGATTGCAATATTCTCAGGAGCTGAGCGGCCCTGGAGTACACTGCTCATCAGTGAGCAGGTTTATTGCTAAGCAAGTGCTTCTTGATAGTGCTGTTGATGACCTGTTCCCTCACTATGCTGATGGTTGAGAGTAGATTAATGGGGCAATAATTACCTGATTTGGATCTGCCCTGGTTTTAGTGTGCAAGACTAGCAAATTTCCATATTTCCTGATGGATGTCAGTGTTGCAGCTGTACAGCAGACATTTTGTAATTTATGAACAACACTAACTACTCACAATGTTATAAGAACTCACACTTATACAAAGTCTGGGTTCTATGTTTACTAATGTTACAACTGATTACATGAATGTAACACTGAAAATAGCTGACTGCAATGACTACATAGTGCACTGATTCCATTACACTATGACTACTGAAATGATGCATACTGGAACATCACATGACATAATGTCACCTAACAATTTAAAAGGTATTCTCTTTCCTAGAATCCAATAATACAACATTCCTATTTTTCCTTTAAAGAATGGGAACCCTATCCCAACACAGTTGTATAAGAATGAACATGGATACGTTATCTCTACACAATTAAATATGCTTTTACAGACATACGGCACATCTGGATCCAGTGCTTATACATTTATAACAACTTGCCTCTTTGTTGCGCTTCCTGTTATCTTGGGTGGATGTGTATCATTTGTTTTGGATGTGTGGTGTTGTCATGAATGATACTTTCAGTTTCTGGGTGGTTTTGAGATGGGTGGTTAATCATACAATGCTTGATTATGTAATCTATTTCTTCACAGGATTCAACTATTGTTTTTAAAACATCACATGATGTAGAATCCTTCCACAAACCCAAGTGCTCACCTGAAAATCTCCAACTTTTATCTTTGTCTTGGTTCAATTTGGGACAAATGTTCATGCTCGTTGCTCTGCTCCTGTACCATTTTCTCCCTTGTTT